AGAAAATATTATAGATACCGCCGCAATAGACGATTTCGAAGCGAAATACGGAGAAATCGAAACTAACGATAGACTACTAAGAGATTAGGAAAAGAGAGGGAAACGAAGGAAATAGGGTAGGAAACTAGCGTTCTTCCGAGTTTACTAACTTATTAATTTTTTAGGATTTTAATTACCTAAGAATTTTAGGAAGGAAACTTTAGAATAGAAGAGGATTTTATTTATATATTTAAAAGCAAGTATTAGCTCTCCGACCGAGAGTACGAGGTCCTCCTAGAATAGAAAGGATTATACCTCCGAAAATATCTAGAGACTACTAGAAACCCTACGGGAACCTTTATTTATTATTAGGTATAGAATCCGGCGGACTATTATAGTTAGTACCGAGCTTTAGAGTAGTAGGGACCCCCCTAAAGGAAAAGATTAGCGTAAGAAAATAGGTAGGGGGCTATATATTACTTACGTCTACGGCTACTAAGCTACGATATTAGCGACTATATTTGTTACCTCCGCGGCTACCGCTCTAGAGAACTAGATTAGCGAGGGTTTTATTATAGGAATCGAGGAAAATAAATCCGGATAATAAACCCTACGGTAAGAGAGACTTTATAGCTTACTAAGCCGTAAGAACCTAAAGTAGGTCGGTATACTTAGTAGCGATAGTACTACGGATTGCGCGGGTATAGCTAGCGTAAGCCACACAGGCCATTTAAGAACTAGATAGTTAGGGAGGGTTTTTATACGGAAATCGGATTAATATATAGTAGAAGGTAAGTAATTCTCTTACGAGAATATTCGGAATAGGCCCTAGAGCCGGCTAGCTAGAGGAAAGTTAGCGGATTCTACGACGAATAAGATAGAGACCGGATTTACCGACTAGTCGGCATAATCCTTACTAGAGTTATAGTAGCCTACGTAGTAGATTCGACGATAGTCTATCTAGGAGAATTTATTTTACGAAGGAAATCGTAGAAATATAGAAGGGTACCTTACTTTAGTAAAAGTAGTAGCAGTAGTAATAGGGGGTATAGAAAGAAAAGAGGAAGAAGAAAAAGAAAAAGAAAATATTATTACTTCTAGCAAGCGGC